AATTAGATAAAGATTAGAAATTAAAGATTAGAAATTAGATAAAAGATCAGAAATTAGATAAAGATTAAAAATTAGATAAAGATTAGGAATTAAATATTAGAAATTATATAAAAGGTTAAAACTTAAAGATTAGAAATTAGATATAGATTAGAAATTAAAGATTAAAAACTAGATAAAAGATCAGAAATTAGGTGAAGATTAGAAATTAAAGATTAGAATTAGATAAAAGATTAGACATTAAAGATAATTAGAAATTAAAAATCAGAAATTTGATAGAAATTTTGATAAAAATTAGAAATCCGATCGATACGGTAGATACATTTGGTAGCCACCCAACATGAGTTCTTCATTAACCTACCTGCATTTCCTGCTTTAAACTCCCAACAAGCGGACTTTGGGGCGTTCCAGTCCAGGCCAAAACCAGAGCCACCCACCCACCCGAATCTAGAATCCTGTCCCGAAAGATGCCCATCCTACCGTGATCCCTGGGGGGCGCCCCGGATCCCTTGGCAGCCTCACGGGCCCCCTCCGTCTCCATCTCCAGGCCCAGGTGTGCATCCCAACTATTCATGATGACTTCCTTCTCCTGGGTGCTCCAGGTAAGGGAGTACGCGTGTTTCTGTCGAATGTGCCTCTTGATGGTGCTCAGTTTGAGCGTGGCCAGCGAGCTGCCGCACACCATGCAGATCATGCCATGACGCGCCGCATTGAAGTCCATCAAGTATTCGGCCCGCCAGTGCTCGTGGTAATACCGCCGGTGGTCCCGCCCGGGAATCCGGCTTTTGCCAGGCCTGGACGCTCGCGCTTCGCAATGGTCCGAATATTTGCGTCCTCCGGCCAAGAGGGACATGGGATCCTTTTTGGTAATCCCCCGTAGCAAGCCGTTCCCAGCGGGACGCAAGAGATGTCCAGAGCTTGACTCACCGCTATGTTGGGAATCCGGACAGGTGGAATCTCCTGGTGAGATAAGATACAAAGGCTCAGTTTTATTGAATAGAATAGAATAGAATAGAATAGAATAGAATAGAATAGAATAGAATAGAATA